AATGGTCAGAATACTTATGTAAAAATGTCTAAAAACCTGTTTTCACGTTGTCATGATGGGGTATTGTGTGTAGATTGATGTGAAAAAATAAATAATGAAATCCATTTTAGAATAAGGCTGTAACGTAACAAAATGTTGAAAAAGTGAAGGGGTCTGAGTACTTTCCGAATGCACTGTAATTACATGGCTAGATGGGCAGATGGATAAATACAATTCTAGCCAAACATGCAAATATTCATCCATCAGACCTTTACTACGACTTAATCAAGAAGCAGGCTGTGGGGTGTTTAGCCTACATCATGAATCATGATCTGTGTCTGCAGGCTCCTACAGAACTGGACTAACCACCTGCTCTGATTCTCTGCACCTTAGCGCGTGCACACTCACACTGCTTCTACCAGACTCTTGTTATGATTGCTAAATGCTGCACAATTTAAACACTTGCCCCCCAATACCCCCTTCCCCATAACACATGTAGTTATTGGACTATAAATTGTGCCTTCCTGTATTATACTTATGCTAAAATGTTTATTCTATTTGCCTGAGCCATTTGCTTTATGTCCGTATTCTTATATTTTATTATTTCTTATTGTTGTTACATCGTTGAGAAGGAACCTGCAAGTAAGCATTTAGTTGGAAGGTGTATACAATGTATATCCCGTACGTACGACTAATAAAACTGTAAACTTTATGGTGCATCAGTCTCCCCCTCTAGGTTGTTTCCGTATTGGGGTAAGATCATAGGAATCCATTGTAATCAGCCAGAACAGATTGTTTCAGTCCCAAATGGCACCCTATTCCCCATTTAGTCCACCACTTCTTCAATGCAGTCATCATTCCCTTGACTGTATTACTAGTGTATTGTCCCAATGGCTGAACTTTGTCTTGACTGAACTGGTTTCTTTTGTCTGTTTGCAGAAACGTCACAACGCTGACAGTGTCGTCAACAAGAAGGAATGTCAAGGTACAGCCCGTTTCTGTTTCTGTTTCTTTATTGTTGCAATCCTAGATTGATTGATGTTTATTGTCCTTGAAGTGGTAATTATTTTCATAGCTCACTGAGAAGGTCACAAGTTACACATACAGTACTAGTCAAAAGTTTGGACACCTACTCATTCAAGGGTTTTTCTTTATTATATTTTTCTACATTGTAGAATAATAGTGAAGACATCAAAACTATGAAATAACACGTATGAAATCATGTAGTAACCAAAAAAGTTTTAAACAAATAGCCACCCTTTGCCTTGATGACAGCTTTGCACACTCTTGGCATTCTCTCAACCAGCTTCATGAGGTAGTCACCTGGAATGCATTTCAATTAACAGGTGTGCCTTCTTAAAAGTTAATTTGTGAATTTCTTTCCATCTTATTGCGTTTGAGTCAATCAGTTGTGTTGTGACAAGGTAGGGGGGGTATACAGAAGATAGCCCTATTTGGTAAAAGACCAAGTCCATATTATGGCAAGAACAGCTCAAATAAGCAAAGAGAAACAACAGTCCGTCATTACTTTAGGACATGAAAGTTAGTCAAGAAGGAATATTTCATGAACATTGAAAGTTTCTTCAAGTACAGTCGCAAAAACCATCAAGCGCTATGATGAAACTGGCGCTCATGAGGACCACCACAGGAATGGAAGACCCAGAGTTACCTCTGCGGCAGAGGATAAGTTCATTCGAGTTACCAGCCTAAGAAAGTGCAGCCCAAATAAATGCTTCAGAGTTCAAGTAACATACACATCTCAACATCAACTGTTCAGAGGGGACTGTGTGAATCAGGCCTTCATAGTCGAATTGCTGCAAAGAAACCACTTCTAAAGGACACCAATAATAAGAAGAGACCTGCTTGGGCCAAGAAACACGAGCAATGGACATTAGACCGGAGGAAATTTGTCATTTTGGTCTGGAGTCCAAATATGAGATTTAAGGTTCCAACCGCCATGTCTTTGTGAGACGCGGTGTGGGTGAACGGATGATCTCTGCATGTGTAGTTCCCACTGTAAAGCATGGAGGAAGAGGTGTTATGGTATGGGGGTGCTTTGCTGGTGACACTGTCTGTGATTTTATTTAGAATTCAAGGCACACTTAACCAGCATGGCTACCACAGCATTCTGCAGCGATACGCCATCCCATCTGGTTTGGGCTTAGTGAGGCTATCATTTGTTTTTCAACAGGACATTGACCCAACACACCCCCAGGCTGTGTAAGGGCTATTTTACCAAGAAGGAGAGCGATGGCGTGCTGCATCAGATGACCCTGCCTCCACAATCCCCCGATCTCAATCCAATTGAGATGGTTTGGGATGAGTTGGACGGCAGAGTGAAGGAAAAGCAGCCAACAAGTGCTCAGCATATGTGGGAACTCCTTCAAGACTGTTGGAAAAGCATTCCAGGTGAAGCTGGTTGAGAGAATGCCAAGAGTGTGCAAATCTGTCATCAAGGCAAAGGGTGGCTACTTTGAAGAATCTAAAATATATAATAGATTTTGATTTGTTTAACACTTTTGGTTACTAATCATAGTTTTGATGTCTTCACTATTATTCTACAATGTAGAAAATAGTAAAAATAAAGAAAAACCCTTGACTGGTACTATATATATACAGTGGGGAGAACAAGTATTTGATACACTGCCAATTTTGCAGGTTTTCCTACTTACAAAGCATGTAGAGGTCTGTAATTGTTATCATACGTACACTTCAACTGTGAGAGATGGAATCTAAAACAAAAATCCAGAAAATCACATTGTATGATTTTTAAGTAATTAATTTGCATTTTATTGCATGACATAAGGATTTGATCACCTACCAACCAGTAAGAATTCCGGCTCTCACAGACCTGTTAGTTTTTCTTTAAGAAGCCCTCCTGTTCTCCACTCGTTACCTGTATAAAAGACACCTGTCCACACACTCAATCAAACAGACTCCAACCTCTCCACAATGGCCAAGACCAGAGATCTGTGTAAGGACATCAGGGATAAAATTGTAGACCTGCAAAAGGTGGGATGGGCTACAGGACAATAGGCAAGCAGCTTGGTGAGAAGGCAACAACTGTTGGCGCAATTATTAGAAAATGGAAGAAGTTCAAGATGACGGTCAATCACCCTCGGTCTGGGGCTCCATGCAAGATCTCACCTCGTGAGGCATCAATGATCATGAGGAAGGTGAGGGATCAGCCCAGAACTACACGGCAGGACCTGGTCAATGACCTGAAGAGAGCTGGGACCACAGTCTCAAAGAAAACCATTAGTAACACACTACGCCGTCATGGATTAAAATCCTGCAGCGCACGCAAGGTCCCCCCCTGCTCAAGCCAGCGCATATCCAGGCCCGTCTGAAGTTTGCCAATGACCATCTGGATGATCCAGAGGAGGAATGGGAGAAGGTCATGTGGTCTGAAGAGACAAAAATAGAGCTTTTTGGTCTAAACTCCACTTGCCGTGTTTGGAGGAAGAAGAAGGATGAGTACAACCCCAAGAACACCATCCCAACCATGAAGTATGTAGGTAGAAACATCATTATTTGAGGATGCTTTTCTGCAAAGGGGACAGGACGACTGCACCGTATTGAGGGGAGGATGGATGGGGCCATGTATCGCGAGATCTTGGCCAACAACCTCCTTCCTTCAGTCAGAGCATTGAAGATGGGTCGTGGCTGGGTCTTCCAGCATGACAACGACCCGAAACACACAGCCAGGGCAACTAAGGAGTGGCTCCGTAAGAAGCATCTCAAGGTCCTGGAGTGGCCTAGCCAGTCTCCAGACCTGAACCCAATAGAAAATCTTTGGAGGGAGCTGAAAGTCCGTATTGCCCAGCGACAGCCCCGAAACCTGAAGGATCTGGAGAAGGTCTGTATGGAGGAGTGGGCCAAAATCCCTGCTGCAGTGTGTGAAAACCTGGTCAAGACCTACAGGAAACATATGATCTCTGTAATTGCAAACAAAGGTTTCTGTACCAAATATTTTCTGCTTTTCTGATGTATCAAATATTTATGTCATGCAATAAAATGCAAATTAATTATTTAAAAATCAGACAATGTGATTTTCTGGATTTTTGTTTTAGATTCCGTCTCTCACAGTTGAAGTGTACCTATGATAAAAATTACAGACCTCTACATGCTTTGTAAGTAGGAAAACCTGCAAAATCGGCAGTGTATCAAACACTTGTTCTCCCCACTGTGTGTGTGTATATATATATATATATATATATATATATATATATACACACACACAACTATTTAATGAAGCTGCCAGTTGAGGACCTGTGAGGCGCCTGTTTCACAAACTACGCACTAATGTATTTGTCCTCCCACTCCTCTTTCTATTCTGGTTAGAGTCAGTTTGCGCTGTTCTGTGAAGGGAGTAGTACACAGCGTTGTACGAGATCTTCAGTTTCTTGGCAATTTCTCGCATGGAATAGCCGTCATTTCTCAGAACAAGAATAGACTGACGATTTTCAGAAGAAAGTTATTTGTTTCTAGCCATTTTGAGCCTGTAATCGAACCCACAATTGCTGATGCTCCACATACTCAACTTTAATAAGCACAACAGTTTTCAGCTGTGCTAACATAATTGCAAAAGGGTTTTCTAATGATCAATTAGCCTTTTTCAAATTATAAACTTGGATTAGCAAACCCAACGTGCCATTGGAACACAGGACTGATGGTTGCTGATAATGGGCCTCTGTACGCCTATGTAGATATTCCATTAAAAATCTGCCGTTTCCAGCTACAATAGCCATTTACAACATTAACACTGTCTACACTGTATTTCTGATGAATTTGATGTTATTTTAATGGACAAAAAAAATAGGATTTTCTTTCGAAAACAAGGACATTTCTAAGTGACCCCAAACTTTTGAACGGTAGTGTATATATTATGTAGTACATTACGTATATAGGCCTAGCCTTCAAAAGATGAATGTATTTCTTTGTTGTCGTATGACAGGACAGAATATATGGCTCTGTGTGCGTTGTGTAACACTGTGCCTTCCAAGTGGGCTAAACAAAGCATGGTGGTGATGATTTATCCTGCGTATCACAGCACTTCTCTTACCTTTTGTCTCTGCTATTTAAAGTGCTGAGGAACGGTGCCTGGGAGATCGTGCACTGGGCCAAGGTACGTTACCGGACTACATCCTCTTAACTTAAACGGAAAATTCTGTATTTTACAATTCAGTCTTAGATTGTTCCGCACTCTGAAAGTAGTGTATGCACCGTTAGAGATTGTAGGGTAATCCATGGATCGGTTTTCTTTGAATGGCCACTACAAACTTCTGCTAACTTTAGGCACAGCTAGCTGATAATAAATGGCAGTGATGGGGGCAACCATGTAAATAAATACATTAATAACCTTTTTAAGGATGCCTGGACCATCTAACATTAATTTGTAAAATACGGAACTTCCCCTTTAACCAACGGCATCAGGCAAGGGTGTGATATTATTCTAGGAGAGATATTCATAGACAGCCACTGACATCCCACAAGAACTGGAACAAAGAACAGATGTTGATGAGGATATGTCCACACCAGTCTCTTCCTATCTCTCTCTCTATAATAAGTAGGAACCCCCCCCCTTCACACACCTCCTGTTCGCCATTCGGCCCCTTTCATCAGCCTGGCCTGGCCTGGCCTGGCCACTAATTAATCCACTGCTTCCATGTGGACAGAGAGCGTTAAGAAAAGGAAGGCTATGCCCGAGGACATAACAGACAGAGAGAGAGAGAGCAGCTTTTAATCCAGTGGTCATAAAACACCCCACTTAATTACCGTGTCAGAAATGGTCCGCCCACAACAATCAGGTGCAAAAATGTGTGTGAGGCAGTAGAAGACGTTAAGAAATGATTCACCGTTGCCTCTTGTTCCACTCTGAGAATGCATGGTTTTAGTGGCCCGGGTAAATATATTGTAATTTCAAACCGGGAGAGGTTTGTTGCATATTTTTTTACCATTACTGTGAGAAATTGCCTCTGAAATTGGGGAAGCCAAACACTTAATGATAAACCCCAGAGGGTACAGAACAAGGTGAATTACTGATCTAGATAGTATATTCATGCTTATGGGAAGATCTCATTCTGACATTATTGGCAGAAACGAGGAGTTTGCCAGGGTATGAAATGCAAATGCACGTCTGTGCCCTCTAGCTTTTATGGTTCCTCACAGAAAAAAAAGATGTAATCGTTTTCATTAGGGCACACCTTAACAGAAAATGAAAACCAGTCTAGGTGTAGTCCCTTCCTGTTTCATGCCACATTCTTCCGTTTGTCGCCTAATAAAGACGACCCAGGTATTCTACCTGGTTGACCAACCCTGGAAAGAAGAACCATAACAAGCCTTTCCCTGACTGTCTTATTTATTCCCATGTTTATAATTTCCATGACTTCCAGGCAGGCAGTGGTCTCTATCCATCAGTAACCAGTGTGTTTCTTCCAGGCAGTGGTCTCTATCCACCAGTAACCAGTGTGTTTCTTCCAGGCAGTGGTCTCTATCCATCAGGAACCAGTGTGTTTCTTCCAGGCAGTGGTCTCTATCTATCAGGAACCAGTGTGTTTCTTCCAGGCAGTGGTCTCTATCCATCAGGAACCAGTGTGTTTCTTCCAGGCAGTGGTCTCTATCCATCAGGAACCAGTGTGTTTCTTCCAGGCGGTGGTCTCTATCCACCAGTAACCAGTGTGTTTCTTCCAGGCAGTGGTCTCTATCCATCAGGAACCAGTGTGTTTCTTCCAGGCGGTGGTCTCTATCCATCAGAAACCAGTGTGTTTCTTCCAGGCAGTGGTCTCTATCCATCAGGAACCAGTGTGTTTCTTCCAGGCAGTGGTCTCTATCTATCAGGAACCAGTGTGTTTCTTCCAGGCAGTGGTCTCTATCCATCAGGAACCAGTGTGTTTCTTCCAGGCGGTGGTCTCTATCCACCAGTAACCAGTGTGTTTCTTCCAGGCGGTGGTCTCTATCCATCAGGAACCAGTGTGTTTCTTCCAGGCAGTGGTCTCTATCCATCAGGAACCAGTGTGTTTCTTCCAGGTGGTGGTCTCTATCCACCAGTAACCAGTGTGTTTCTTCCAGGCAATGGTGGGAGATATAATTCGAGTAGGATGCTCAGATTACATACCTGCGGACTCTATCCTACTGTCATCCAGGTAGAAGTCTGTGGGTTCACCTACCTGTTCCTGCCAGACCCTGAGGACATCTCCTCCTCCTCCTCTGTTCTCTCGCTCCCTCCCTCCCTCTCTCTGTCAGCTCTCCCAAGGAAGTGATGATTGATTCCAAATAAGAGAAGACATTTTAAGTGCCTCGATTTAAAACGTAGGCCTACTATCAAGGCAGGTTATGTGCCTGCTACATTTTTAATGTTGTTCTTCATGCCTTTGTGAAGATCCAAGGCTGCTACTGCTATTGATAAGAGAGTTTAAAAGACTGAGAAACAGTATTGCATTGTGGGAATTATCACTTCCTTCTAACATGTCTTCAGCTCCTTTCCTCCTTCACCTTTTCAAACTTCATTTGGACCAGGTCTTAATTCGGGCCCTGCCTCGGTTTACTGTCTGATATGTCCTCTGTTACCTATTACCCAAACTTTGAAAAAGCTGAAACAATGCAACAGACCTACATGCTGTACTGAATCAATATAGCACAGACCTACATGATGTACTGAATCCATATAGCACAGACCTACATGCTGTACTGAATACATACAGTTGAAGTCGGAAGTTTACATACACTTAGGTTGGAGTCATTAAAACTCGTTTTTCAACCACTCCACAAATTTCTTTTTAACAAACTATAGTTTTGCCAAGTCGGTTAGGACATCTACTTTGTGCATGACACAAGTAATTTTTCCAACAATTGTTTACAGACAGATTATTTCACTTATAATTCACTGTATCACAATTCCAGTGGGTCGGAAGTTTACATAAGCTAAGTGCCTTTAAACAGCTTGGAAAATTCCAGAAAATTATGTCATGGCTTTAGAAGCTTCTGATAGGCTAATTGACATCATTTGAGTCAATTGGAGGTGTACCTGTGGATGTATTTCAAGGCCTACCTTCAAACTCAGTGTCTCTATGCTTGACATCATGGGAAAATCCAAAGAAATCAGCCAAGACCTCAGAAAAGAAATTGTAGACCTCCACAAGTCTGGTTCATCCTTGGGAGCAATTTCCAAACGCCTGAAGGTACCACGTTCATCTGTACAAACAATAGTAGGCAAGTATAAACACTATGGGACCACGCAGCCATCATACCGTTTAGGAAGGAGACTCGTTCTGTCTCCTAGAGATGAACGTACTTTGGTGCGAAAAGTGCAAATCAATCCCAGAACAACAGCAAAGGACCTTGTGAAGATGCTGGAGGAAACAGGTACAAAAGTATTTGTATCCACAGTAAAACGAGTCAAATATCGACATAACCTGAAAGACCTCTCAGCAAGGAAGAAGCCACTGCTCCAAAACCGCCATAAAAAAGCCAGACTACGGTTTGCAACTGCACATGGGGACAAAGATTGTACTTTTTGGAGAAATGTCCTCTGGTCTGATGAAACAAAAATAGAACTGTTTGGCCATAATGACCATCGTTATGTTTGGAGGAAAAAGGGGAGGCTTGCAAGCCGAAGAACACCATCCTAACCGTGAAGAACGGGGGTGGCAGCATCATGCTGTGGGGGTGCTTTGCTGCAGGAGGGACTGGTGCACTTCACAAAATAGATGGCATCATGAGGAAGGAAAATGATGTGGATATATTGAAGCAACATCTCAAGACATCAGTCAGGAAGTTAAAGCTTGGTCGCAAATGGGTCTTCCAAATGGACAATGACCCCAAGCATACTTCCAAAGTTGTGGCAAAATGGCTTAAGGACAACAAAGTCAAGGTATTGGAGTGGCCATCACAAAGCCCTGACCTCAATCCTATAGAAAATGTGTTGGCAGAACTGAAAAAGCGTGTGCGAGCAAGGAGGCCTACAAACCTGACTCAGTTACACCAGCTCTGTCAGGAGGAATGGGCCAAAATTCACCCAACTTATTGTGGGAAGCTTGTGGAAGGCTACCCAAAACGTTTGATCCAAGTTAAACAATTTAAAGGCAATGCTACCAAATACTAATTGAGTGTATGTAAACTTCTGAGCCACTGGGAATGTGATGAAATAAATAAAAGCTTAAATAAATCATTCTCTCTACTATTATTCTGACATTTCACATTCTTAAAATAAAGTGGTGATCCTAACTGACCTAAGACATGGCATTTTTACTAGGATTAAATGTCAGGAATTGTGAAAAACTGAGTTTAAATGTATTTGGCTAAGGTGTATGTAAACTTCAGACTTCAACTGTATAGCACAGACCTACATTCTGTACTGAATCCATATAGCACAGACCTACATGCTGTACTGAATACATATAGCACAGACCTACATTCTGTACTGAATACATATAGCACAGACCTACATGCTGTACTGAATCCATATAACACAGACCTACATGCTGTACTGAATCCATATAACACAGACCTACATGCTGTACTGAATACATATAGCACAGACCTACATTCTGTACTGAATACATATAGCACAGACCTACATGCTGTACTGAATACATATAGCACAGACCTACATTCTGTACTGAATACATATAGCACAGACCTACATGCTGTACTGAATCCATATAACACAGACCTACATGCTGTACTGAATCCATATAGCACAGACCTACATGCTGTACTGAATACATATAGCACAGACCTACATTCTGTACTGAATACATATAGCACAGACCTACATGCTGTACTGAATACATATAGCACAGACCTACATGCTGTACTGAATCCATATAACACAGACCTACATGCTGTACTGAATCCATATAACACAGACCTACATGCTGTACTGAATACATATAGCACAGACCTACATGCTGTACTGAATCCATATAACACAGACCTACATGCTGTACTGAATCCATATAGCACAGACCTACATGCTGTACTGAATCCATATAACACAGACCTACATGCTGTACTGAATCCATATAACACAGACCTACATGCTGTACTGAATCCATATAACACAGACCTACATGCTGTACTGAATACATATAGCACAGACCTACATGCTGTACTGAATCCATATAACACAGACCTACATGCTGTACTGAATACATATAGCACAGACCTACATGCTGTACTGAATACATATAGCACAGACCTACATTCTGTACTGAATACATATAGCACAGACCTACATGCTGTACTGAATCCATATAGCACAGACCTACATGCTGTACTGAATCCATATAGCACAGACCTACATGCTGTACTGAATACATATAGCACAGACCTACATTCTGTACTGAATACATATAGCACAGACCTACATGCTGTACTGAATCCATATAGCACAGACCTACATGCTGTACTGAATACATATAGCACAGACCTACATTCTGTACTGAATACATATAGCACAGACCTACATGCTGTACTGAATCCATATAACACAGACCTACATGCTGTACTGAATCCATATAACACAGACCTACATGCTGTACTGAATCCATATAGCACAGACCTACATTCTGTACTGAATCCATATAACACAGACCTACTAGCTGTACTGAATCCATATAGCTCACTGTTTTGTATTTTTGCACAGCAGCGATTTATTTGCACATAATCCAGACCTCATCTAAAATCTAATTAAATTGTTATTACTCTCGCCCTATGATTTATATTGAGTAAATTGGGTTATTGTATTTGCATAGTACAGTATATGGGGACCATAAATGACTTAATATAGTTTTTAATAACCTTGTCCAAATGGCTTTTGAAACCAGCTTATACCAAACCCTCTGGACGTGCAAGGGTTAAACTATGTCCTTATTCTTCCATAAAATTAAACCGTTCTCTTTCCCCTCCCTTGTTTTGGTGTTTGTTTGTACTCTACCTCCTCCCCTTCTTCTCTCCCTAATGTCCTTCCCCTGGATGCCCCTGCTCTCTCTGGCCCCTCCTGGTGCTTGCTGGGTAATATCAGGTGGGCGTTGGGGAGGTAGTGAAAGCGGCCAACGGGGATCACCTCCCGGCCGACATCGTCATTCTGTCTTCCAGGTCAGGAACCGAACCGCACTGCCGAGCATGGGGGTGGGGGTGGGAGCATGGGAAGAGGAGCATAGCATACAAGGCAACTACAGGTCAGGACGTTTTGTCTTGCACTGACAACATTAATGATGCATATTGGATTTGACATTCTAAGGCAGGAAGGGAAAGCTCTGGTTATGTTGGTAAAGCCAGAGATTAAGGTCAATAGGTCAGCGAACACATTGTTCGCATCTAGGCACAGTCAGATGCCTTAGTCATTTTGATCATGTTAACAATAAATGTTTTTATGGCTTGAGAATATAGCGAGACAAGACATAAATTATTGTATTGATCTTTAAGACCTGTATCCAAACTGTTATTCATCAAGCAAACATGGAAAGTGTTTCAGTTACAGTTTTCTTAGTGTGCCACCACAGAAAAGCATGCTTTAGTTTGAGACAAGATCATAAGTTTGGGTGTGAGCTGTGAACGGGTTTCCATGTTCCTAACTGTGCATGGCTCTAGAAGTCCACCCTAAAAACTACTGTAGACTTTGCTGTTTGACATGAAACGTTGGATGCTGGGACCTTAGAAATCGTGACATTTCTATGGCTGTGACATTACAACATTTTAATTAATCTTTGCATAATAACATACTGTAGAATGCTTACAACAATGTATCTATTTTAATCAAGTAGATATTTTGAATATTTCATTAATACTAAATATTCATGAACACTCCAACAGTGTTGTTGATGCACTGGTTCCATCTTGTCGACAGGATATTTGAAGCATGACTGACTGGTTTTAGAACATCCCTGCAGAGCAAATGCCTGTCGTCAGGAATCCAAAGCCCTTATTGCTCACCCAATGACTCAAAACAGCTGAAACTAAAACCTCATTGATTGAGGTTAGGGTTCGAGTTGGTCAAAACCCTTTTGGGTTTTCTCCTTCCTCCCCTGTGTTTGGATGGGCCCTCGTCATGCATCAATCACCCTGTTAAAAGAGTGGCTAACCAGCGACCCACCTCACCTTAAAGCTCCAGCACGCTCTATAACTCTGTCCCCGTGCCCAGTGTCTGTCAGAGCCCCATTTGTTCTGCTGTGGTTCTAGTGCTCGCTCGGCATGCCTGCTCCCTCTCTCTCTTTGAAAGTCGACTGAGTTCAAGGGCAGCTGCAAACAAAGATGTTAGCCTTGCCTGTGCCGGTTTTCCAGGACTTCAGGCTGTCATAAAATGAGACGTTTTTGGCTGTATTAGTTCAAATCAACTTGGTATCAGAAAACTTTGCAGCATCTTTGTTTGTAAGCGCCTTGATTTAAATAGTTGAAAGAGTCCTCCCTATCCTCGATAAAAAATAATAATTAAATAAATGAATGAGTCTGTTTTGATTATTATACAGAATTAACTGTTATCTTAAGTTCTCCAGGTCCAATGTTCAATTTGATGCTTTTTACGTCCCCTTTAAACAAGTGAGCCCCAAGGCATGTGCTACATTGAGACATCAAACTTGGATGGAGAAACAAACCTCAAAATCCGACAGGTGATTATTTCTGTCTCCTACATTTTCCTTTGCTCTATCTCTATCTCCTTGGAAATAGGAAACTTGGAACTATTGAACTGAAACTCATACAGGGATGACTTTTGGTCAGCCTTACAGGAGTTTCCCAGATGAGATGTTCTGATATTTCTTCTGATATTTCAGAAAGCACATGAACCAATTTTAACTCTGTCCAATACGAAAGTGAAATGCAATCTCAATGTAGGCTGTCCCCTTTATTGACTTCATTGAAATATAATTGGTACCTGGAATCTATGTAACCTGTGTGTGTGTGTGTGTGTGTGTGTGTGTGTGTGTGTGTGTGTGCGCGTGCATGAACATAGGGACTGCAAATCACCTCGGAGATCAAGGACATCGACAGCCTGATGCGTCTCTCCGGGCGCATGGAGTGCGAGAGCCCCAATCGCCATCTCTATGAGTTTGTGGGGAACATCCGTCTTGATGGACACAGGTGGGACACAACACACCGCTCCACTTCTGGAGCTCTGCCTTTTTCAACCAGCTAGCAGCCTTTCCATCTCATAGGGCCGTTAGGAGTTGGACCAGCACAGTGAATCGTGTGGGGTTGTGGCTAATTGAACGTTTCTATGGAGTAAAGAGAAGATTAGAAGCACCTGCTTAGTGTTAATGTGTTTGTTTGGGGGCTTTGCCAATCCATAGTAATAATATGAACATGATGTCAGTCATCTGAAATACAGACTTGCATCTCAATCCTGAGGTAGAACAAAGACCCTGAAAACTGAAACTGTAAGAAATTAGGACTTCTGTTCCCTCCTTACTCAGTGGTAGTGTCACTGTAGCAGTAAGCGCAACCATGGATTTGAGTTCCGTAGTTTCTCAAGCTCCTTCACACTATTCCTGTGCTGGAGACTCATGGACACTTCTGTTTGTGACTCCAGCACCGTGCCTCTGGGTCCGGACCAGATTCTGCTGCGAGGTGCCCAGCTGAGGAACACCCAGTGGGTCCATGGCGTCGTGGTCTACACTGGACACGACACAAAGCTCATGCAGGTGAAGCCCTCTGCTGGTCCACATGTACATTTGTCATTTAGCAGACACTCTTATCCAGAGCCACTTAGGTGGGTAAGAAATCCACATATCAGTCATTTTTGGGGGGGTTTTGTATTATAAATTGTATTACTTATGTCTGTCACTTTTGTCCAGAATTCCACACAGCCGCCTCTGAAGCTGTCCAACGTGGAGCGCATCACAAACTTCCAAATTCTACTGCTGTTCGGCTGTCTACTGGCCATCTCTCTGGTGTGCTCCATCGGACAAACCATCTGGAAGTATCAGTACGGCAATGCAGCCTGGTACATGGACTTGAACTGTAAGAGCACAAACGCCAGATATAGTCCACATATTGTGTCTGCTTAGTTCTGTTGTATTTTGAGTTACCTTTTGTTAATGTCAGTGTGTCCTTGTTTCTTTAAAGTATATGTATTTGCAACACAAGTCAAATATGTGGCGATGGGGAATGATGGTATTCCCATGTAAACATAACTGATTGTGACATGCATAGATGTGAATGAAAGGAATGGTTGAATATCAGTGCGCTGCTGTACATTTTGGTTCATTTCTAATGTTCTGTTTTGGTTCTTTGTTTTTCTTTGTTGTTGTTTTTTAACAGCTCCAGGTAACAACCATTTAAAAGCTTTGGCCAATCCGTGAATGACCCTTCCATACTAACACCCTAACTGAAGCTCTGCCTTTGCTAAGCTCCCTCTATGTGGTTGTCCTACTTTGTAAGGGCCCCCTTGCCATGGACAGCACAGGCCAGGGATCCGACGATAGGTTTTCCCCTCCAGCTCTTACGCTCTACTCTTCAGTTCCTTTTAGTGCCTGATCCACACAATGTTTCTCCCTTTCTCCTCCATTCTTGTGTGATGCGTTAAACTCTTTGCAAACCCAGGCCTCAGATCCAGCCCCCCTTTTTTGTGTGCCTTTTTACCACAAATGGACCACGAGTCATGAAACTTCACTTCTGCTCTTTGTCCTGTGAGAGCCAGAGATGAGATTGCGCTCAGGAAGCTCTTGGTAGGCAGGAGGCTTCTGTATGTAGCTGAACATGGATGCTGCAGTACAACCCTGGGGTTACCGGTGACATTTTCTAAATGTCTCCCTCCCTCTTTCCCTCCGTCCCTCCGCTGCCAGTGTTTATTCTTATAAAGCAAAACAGAGAGAGAAGGAGTGATTCAAAATCTATTTCAGCACAAGATAGATTTTCACATCCACTCTGAGACATGTTTTTCAATTAAAGCCAGTGTTAGACTAACTACTATTGACAGAATAAAAGCCACAGGTAATAGAACCTTACAGCCTCAGGAGTAGAATAATGAAGGTTAGGTCTGTGGCTACTTGAAAAGTGCTTTAGGATTATTATTTTTCTTCCTCATTGCAAAATATGGCCTTTTTTTCAATGAGTCTGTGAGCCTCGTTTTGCAAACTGATTAACTTGTCACTACAGCCATTACTCTATTCAACTAGGCCTATGTTAGGAGAGGTTGTGTCCTTATCAATTTCATGCTTGTTTTATGACATACACTCTCCCCTCAGTCTCAGAACATTGTCTTGGATTGGCTCGATCTCCAGGGGTTTCACTGCTCTTGTTTGTAGCTTTGAAACTTCCACCTAAAAGACCCCATCCTGTGGGGCGGAGCAGAGAGTGGTGTACAAATGAGGGTGATGTGAGTCATAAAGCAGGCGTCCATCTTGAGACTGACTGTTTTCCTTTTAGGGACGGAGGGACTCAGTCCACTGAAGATTTTTCCGACCTGTGTCAAAAGAGAGAGGTGGTGAATTCATCACGCCATATTAACTTTCACTGTAGCATTTACATACTGCGTACCCAAATTATTGGACTGTAATTGCACATTGAGACATGTCAACACAATCTCTAGTCAGGTGAAGACCACAATGTCGAGATGAATGGACTGACAGTGCATGCTGGTCAGTGGGGAGAGAAGCTGGATCACCGCACTTCAAACCACATACTGTACGTTCCCCATATGTCGGAGAGGGCACGATAATGATTATGCGCACACGATAAATAATGAATTTGACATTGACGCAGCCTACACTGCTGACATCCGAACTGGCATGGTTCACAGTCTATAGATCTTAACAACCTTTATGCAGATAAAGTGTTATGCATTCACACCACCTGCTACACATCACTGTCGGTTAAATCCCCGTCCACTAAAAAGCAGGTAGCTTGTTTTCTCGGATTGTGTCGGTTTCTGCTGACTGCCCACTGCTTAAAGAGCTTACCCCGCACTGCACCCGTTAACTCATCATAGCGCAGTGTGGGTTTTTGCTGTCCCCTAAAAGTTAGCCGACAGTTGTGGCTGCTCATTGCGCTGCTATAGTAGAAAGTTATAGTAGAGGAGATAGGCTGGGTTTACCTCTGGATACACATGCTCTGAAATGGAAGCAAATACTGACGCAAAATCACATATTACAGGACTTTTACTACAATCTACCACAGATATAGTCAGACATAAGGGGGGGGGGAGGATGGTGCGTGTCTTGGTTTGTTGTGATTGACTTGCTCATGGCTGCAACTTAATCTGATCCCAACCTTATTTTACCCCTCTGAGAATACACCAGTTAATGTGTAACAAGGTGACCTCACAAACATCAGAGAAAATAGTTACTTGCAGGCCAATCACACTGCTCAATGTTGATCTCTAAATCCATCCTGCTCTTTTACACTTGTTGGTTGAGACAGGAATGTGCTTTGGACTGAATCCCTCTCCTTTTGTCTTGAGACATCCAACACGTGTGTCTTCTTCCCCACCTCCCTCCCTCCCTCCTCTCCTCTCCTCTCCTCTCTGTGTGCTGTCCTTCCAATAGCAGTAGCTTCCATTTTCAACCCCGTCTTTTGTATTATTCTGTCTTTAAATCAACTGCTAAACTAAAGGGAAACGCTTGGGTTGAGGAAAGTTTCTCTTGCGACTCCTGCAAGCTGAGGAAAGGTAATTCACATCACTAATGTTTTTGTGTGAGCTACTACGCTGTCAGTGGGGTTGTATGTCTCCCTTTTGGTGTTTTTGATTGTTTCATCATGGATCGGGTGAAAGAGAATCCATAAATCCTCACAGTGAGTTGTGGAATTCATTGCCTGGATCATGCTGGATGCCAAGGCTGCTGCTATATGACATTAATTATTCTACTCTAGATCAATCCCAGTTCTGTAGCCATAATTATGGGACCTTAATTGGAGTGAATATCAATTTCAGTGGCGAGAGGATGAGGTGGGGTGGAAGAGATGGGTATTAAATCTCACCTAATGCACAACATTGATACAACATTGATACAACATTGTACCACTGCGTTGTGAAAATGTTGAGCATTAGAACTTTGGGAACTATGCTTTTTCCCGATGGTTTTGGGTGGGATTCAATACTGACAAAAATCTTGTCTATTGCTCCTCTCTCCCCCCCAATCTTGCCTTCCCCCTGACAGATGGGGGCGCCGCAAACTTTGGACTCAACTTCCTCACCTTCATCATCCTCTTCAACAACCTGATCCCCATCAGTCTGCTGGTGACTCTGGAGGTCATCAAGTTCACCCAGGCCTTCTTCATCAACTGGGTGAGAGAAGACACGGGATTTGGAGCCCCGTGGTTATCACTGACAGGGGTCGGGGTCAATTCCATGTACCCACAACCCTGTTAATGTCTCATCATATAGCTCTGACCCCAATTCAATTGTCTCATGCATGGCACACAGGTCTGTTGCCGTCTAGTCACTTGATGTGAAAGTTGAAATGTTTGAAGTTGGTGTTGTCTCATAAGATTCTATCTGATTATTTCAGGATACAGACATGCTCTATGAGCCCACTAACACCCCAGCCGTGGCTCGCACTTCCAACCTGAATGAAGAACTAGGACAGGTAATGCTGCTTGTTCAACATTTTATCTATTACATTTAATTCCTTAATTATATCCACCTTCACCTGCACATAGTAGTTGCACCAAATACACATTTTGTTTCCAACGTTGACAAAACATTTATTCTAGTCACCCATGAATTGTTGCCGGTTACCATTTGAAGTGAAACAGTTGTGCAGTCTGATCTTATTCCATTACTGATTTAAATGGAGCGCCACGTGGCTCAACGTTCCTGTCTCTGGTGTGTCTCTGGTTGACACTAAGCAATGATTGGCTGTCTTGGGTCGACACTGAGCAATGATTGGCTGTCTCACTCTTGTCACGTTCTTGTCACAGGTGAAATACATCTTCTCCGACAAGACGGGGACTCTGACCTGCAACGTGATGCAGTTTAAGAAGTGCACCGTCGCCGGCGTGGCCTATGGGTAAGCCTCGCCTCGCCTCCACTCACCCTCGCTTGTTTACCTCCCCCCTCCCTCCTCTCTCCTCCATCCCTCCTCTCTCCCTCCTCTCTCCCCCCTCCCTCCTCTCTCCTCCATCCCTCCTCTCTCCTCCATCCCTCCTCTCTCCCCATCACCTTCATCAAGTGAAGTGTGTACTGTGGTGTACAGCGGTACATCTGGCGCTCCTTGTCCTCTCCCCAGCCGCCTCATTAGCAGCTGCATCAGTGCGTCCCTCCCTTCGACGCAGACATTAAATAACAGGGCGGACCAACGTTTGCACGCAAAGGATTTTTTTGTTGTTGCTACTGTCCCATGGATCACATCTGTTCAACGTATACCACCTCTGGGATAGCCTAGACCAGGGGTGTCAAACTCATTTTAGCTCAGGGGCCACATGGAGGAAAATCTATTCCCAAGTGGGCCGGACCGGAAAAATCATGGTATATATAACTTAAAAACAACAACTTCAGATTGTTTTCTTTGTTTTAATACGATCAACATACAACATAAAGCTGGAGCCTGAGGACAGTGTGTCCAAAATAGTACAAGCACAACATCACTATTAATCATAAAACGTTTTTCAAAAGTTTATTTGAAAATTCTAAAGAGAAAGAACACACAAACACACAATGCCTCAGTGATTAACAGAAGTATATCACAGATCACAGAACTATATCAGGGTGTCATTTCTCAGGCAGAAATGTAGATACAAATAATGAAATCCTGTTCCCCAAACAAGTGCAAGAACCACAAAGTCAAGAATAGGTTAAATATACAAATAAAATCAATTAAAAACAATAGCACATCAACATAAAAACATAAACATCAATCTGAAAGCGTTGCTCAAACTCCCGTAACAGTCCCGTTATTTTATCTTTGAACCGCTTCATGTCTGCCACATGTTGGGTCGCGCACACATTTTTCAGACAGGGGAAGTGAGCTGCATCACCACCGGCAAGTTGCGTCTCCCACAATGACAGCTTCAACTTGAAAGAACGTATGCGGTCATAATACTGCGTGACAACTTTGTTGCGCCCTTGCAGCTGTTTGTTCAAGTTATTCAGGTGCTCTGTAACATCCACCATAAATGCAAGGTCCTGCATCCATTCTGCGGAATGAAATTCTAACACTGGTTTGCCCTTTTCTTCCATGAACTGTTCAATTTCTTCTCGTAAATCAAAGAAACGCCTCAGCACAGCACCTCGGCTTAACCATCTTACCTCAGTGTGGTATGGCAGGCCATAGATGTGGTCTTTCTCTCTGAGAAGGCTGTCAAACTGACGGTGATTCAGGCTTCTGGATCGGATGAAATTAACAGTTTGGATGACCACCTTCATGACGTTATCCATCTTTAATGACTTGCAACACAAAGCCTCCTGGTGCAAAATACAGTGAAAAGTCAAAAAATCACGTCCTCCATTTGCAGATTGCACTTTCTCTCTGAACTTTGTCACAACGCCTGCTTTTTTCCCGATCATTGAGGGCGCACCATCCGTAGCCAGGCTGACAGCGCGGGACCAGTCCACTCCGACCCTGTCCAGCGCGCTGACGAGTGCGGTAAAAATATCAGCTGCTGTCGTTGTATCTGTCATCGGCACCAACTCCACGAACTCCTCGGTGACGGTCAATGTGTCATCAACTCCGCGGATGAAAATGGCCAGTTGTGCAACATCTGTAATGTCTGTGCTTTCATCAATTGCAACCGAAAACGCAATAAATGACTTTACTTTTTGCTTCAACTGGCTGTCCAAATCCACTGAAAGATCGGAAATCCTGTCTGCAACTGTGTTTCTTGTCAGGCTGATATTTGCAAAAGCCTGCCGCTTTTCAGGGCACACAATCTCCGCTGCCTTCATCATGCATGTTTTTACAAATTCACCCTCACTAAATGGTTTTGAAGCCACTGCGATTTCATTAGCAATGAGGTAGCTAGCTTTCACTGCAGCGTCACTGATGTCTCGGCTGTGAGTAAACACAGACTGCTGTTTCTTCAGACCCGCCAACAGTTCATTCACCTTCTCTCATCTCCGCTGTCCTTGAAAGTTGTCATATTTGTCGGCATGAAGACTCACATAGTGGCGACGAAGGTTATATTCTTTCAGCACTGCAACATGCTCTGAACACACCAAACATACAGCTTTCCCATTCAATTCCGTGAATAAATAGGATGACCATTTTTCTTGGAACACTCTGCACTCTGCGTCCACTTTTCTCTTTTTTGACAGAGACATATTGGGGCAATGAGGGTGCCAAAGCACATAATGTTAAAAGTAGAAGCCGTAATAAATATTGCGGGCAAAACAAAGTAGCTCATTGGCTGCACGTGCTTGACCTACTTGCTCTGCCCCGGTATAAACAGTTTGCTTGCTTAACACAATTGCTATTGCGCCATCCAGTGGACGCAATTGGAACAGCAGTTTATTTTATTGAAAAATTGCAGCGCATTTTTATACTTTACAAAGAAATTAAAAATAAAAAATCTTTTTTTTTTTTTTTTATCATCTCGCGGGGCGGATTAAACCCGTTTGCGGGCCTGATCCGGCCCGCGGGCCGTACGTTTGACACCCCTGGCCTAGACTGTATAGTTAGTTGAGTCTACAAAAACTCATGTAATGTTGTAACAGAGCGCTTTAATCTCAGCTCGTCTTTTTATATGACATGGTCTTACACTGCAGGAGGGGTTGTCCTGTTAGTCCATAATGCATTTGTTATGTGAATATGCTATCAGTTCCCTTCTGCACTTTGAAAATGACACACATTGCTTAGTGTGATACAGGCGGCTAAGAAGCTCCCAGGAAACTGTGGGTGCGTCCCAAATGGCACCCCATTCCATATAGTGCACTACTTTTGACCAGAGCCTTATGAGTCTTGGTCCAAAGTAGTGCACTATAAAGGGAATAGGGTGCAGACTGTGAGTATCTCGGCAGAGCGTGACAGTATGTGATTAATTCAATTAAAAACATGATTGATGAAGTGCAGGGTGGGGGACAAGAAAGCCTGTTTCATCTCCAGTGCCACTGGTGAAGCTCTCTGACCTGCGTGCTAGAGAAAGATAAGTTGAAAAGGAGTAGTTGGCACACCTTTCTAGCCAAGGTTCAGGTTGGCACACCTTTCTAGCCAAGGTTCAGGTTGGCACACCTTTCTAGCCAAGGTTCAGGGTATCACACCTTTCTAGCCAAGGTTCAGGGTATCACACCTTTCTAGCCAAGGTTCAGGGTATCACACCTTTCTAGCCAAGGTTCAGGTTGGCACACCTTTCTAGCCAAGGTTCAGGGTATCACACCTTTCTAGCCAAGGTTCAGGTTGGCACACCTTTCTAGCCAAGGTTCAGGTTGGCATACCTTTCTAGCCAAGGTTCAGGTTGGCATACCTTTCTAGCCAAGGTTCAGGGTATCACACCTTTCTAGCCAAGGTTCAGGTGCATGGAGGAAAAAAAAAACACATTAATCAAAGTGTTCAAGAATATCAGTTTCTTCTTTTTTTCAAAGCTAGAGAAGCATGCCATAAACACGTTGACAATAGGATTCTGATATGTATCCCTGAATCGAGCGGGTGAAATTGATACGTTAGAATGTGATCAATGCATAGTGTGCTGTACTGTGTAACCATCTCTGCTGTAATCTACCCATTTAACCACTAACCTGTCAGTCATAATCCCATTTAGAACATTCTCTTACGGTCTCCTTTAACCGTTGAGTTTCTTGTGACCATCATGGAGAAAGGGGCTCTGCTACAGTGACAAGGTCTTAGCCTGGTCCTGGATCTGCTTGTGCTGTCTTGCCAACTCCTATGGTCATTTGGCATGACTACACGAACATCTAGGATCAGGTTTAGGAAGCTGTCTGCCATTGCAGACCTATAGCTGAAAATCTGTCAGATGTCTTGCCTTCAACCAGTATCCAGATAGATATTTACCTTTCAGTCTCTCAAAAAGCAGGGCACAAGTGAAAGAGGCTCCTCAGTCACATCACTCGTGGATATGGATGTGTGCTTTCATCAGAGGAGCCCAGAGTTATTGTGTTGATCCGATCCCTCTGTGCTCCCCTCCTCTCAGCCGCTCCCACGACTGTCTGCTAAGCTTCACGTTCTCCCTCCCAGGCGGTCTGTAGGAGGCTTGATGATGGTTACATTTTGATCCACAAACATCATTTTAGATGATGCGATCTCTATTGCACTCCACACTGCCCTTTCCCACCTGGACAAGAGGAACACCTACGTGAGAATGCTATTCATTGACTACAGCTCAGCGTTCAACACCATATTGCCCTCAAAGCTCATCACTAAGCTAAGGACCCTGGGACTAAACACCTCCCTCTGCAACTGGATCCTGGACTTCCTGACGGGCCGCCCCCAGGTGGTAAGGGTAGGTAACGACACATCTGTCACGCTGATCCTCAACACGGGGGCCCCTCAGGGGTGCGTGCTCAGTCCCCTCCTGTACTCCCTGTTCACCCATGACTGCATGGCCAGGCACGACTCCATTACCATCATTAAGTTTGCCGACGACACAACAGTGGTAGGCCTGATCACCGACAACGATGAGACAGCCTATAGGGAGGAGGTCAGAGACCTGGCTGTGTGGTGCCAGGATAACAACCTCTCCCTCAGCGTGCTCAAGACAAAGGAGATGATTGTGGACTACAGGGAAAAAAAGAGGACTGAGCACGCCCCCGTTCTCATCGACGGGGCTGAAGTGGAACAGGTTGAGAGCTTCAAGTTCCTTGGTGTCCACATCACCAACAAACAAACCAAGACAGTCGTGAAATGGGCACGACAAAGCCTATTCTCCCTCAGGAGACTGAAAAGATTTGGCATGGATCCTCAGATCCTCAAAGTTCTACAGCTGCACCGTCTAGAGCATCCTGACTGGTTGCATCACCGCCTGGTATGGCAACTGCTCGGCCTCCGACCGCAAGGCACTACAGAGGGTAGTGCGTACGGCCCAGTACATCACTGGGGCCAAGCTTCCTGCCATCCAGAACCTCTATGCTAGGCGGTGTCAGAGGTAGGCCCTAAAAATTATCAAAGACTCCAGCCACCCTAGTCATAGACTGTTCTCTCTGCTACCGCACGGCAAGCGGTACCGAAGCGCCAAGTCTAGGTCCAAAAGGCTTCTTAACAGCTTCTACCCCCAAGCCATAAGAGTCCTGAACAGTTAATCATGGCTACCCGGACTATTTGCACTGCCCCCCCCACCCCACCCCCCTCTTTTACGCTGCTGCTACTCTGTTTATTATTTATGCATAGTCACGTTAACTCTACCCACATGTACATATTACCTCAATTACCTCGACTAACCGGTGCCCCCGCACAGTGACTCTGTACCGGTGCCCCCTGTATATAACCTCCCTACTGTTATTTTATTTTACTGCTGCTCTGTAATTATTTGCTATTTTAATTTTTTTCTTAAACTGCATTGTTGGTTATGGGCTTGTAAGTAAGCATTTCACTGTAATGTCTACACCTGTTGTATTCGGCGCATGTGGCAAATAAGATTTGATTTGAAGTGCTCCACAGAACCACCAGACCAAAGAGAAAGCATAGAGCAATCTAGCTACCTTTGATCTGGAGGAAAAACTGGAATTCTAAGGCAATGCTCTGAATAATCTGAGCTGTCTGACAACGAGCGTCCTGAGAGAGGTCTTTATTCTTTTATACACTATGGATTTTAGTTTTCTGTTCACTGCCTCAGTGTTTGCTCTTCCCTGCGTCCCTAAGGTAGACCTTCTATGTCTTTACAATACTATTCTCAGTGGTAGAGAAATATGATTTGTCCTGCTCTCCCAGTGGTGTCATAATGACCCTTCTTCTGGTTGAAATGGTGTCATAATGACCCTTCTTCTGGTTGCGACGACGCCAGTTGAAATGGCTTTGCCCGCTGGCTGGGTGAAGTCTAGTTGTGGGTTCATGTCCTAACTACTGCTTGCCACTGCAAGTCTTAATTGCTCTTCAGAGGGTTCCAGTCCAGTCTGTGGTCTGTCAGCCTGGAGAGCACAGTGCCCCACTGGAGTCAGAGGCCCAGTGTAATGTCTCTCTCACACACACACACACACACACACACACACACACACACACACACACACACACACACACACACTCCACCACGTTGTCCTCCTCAAAGACTAATTAACTAGAGCAGTAATTCATATAGCCATCCCTATGGGTCCCGTGGAGCTCAGTTGGTAGAGCATGGCGCTTGCAACGCCAGGGTTGTGGGCTTGTTTCCCACGGGGGGCCAGTATGAAAAAATAAAATAATGTATGCATTCACTAACTGTAAGTCGCTCTGGATAAGAGCGTCTGCTAAATGACTAAAATGTAAAAATGTGAAGACATTAATGAATTCAGCTGCACCCCAGTGCTCTTAGAGACATATAGTAGCTAGAGATGTGGGCTGGTCTTTTAGGAGTCGCCTCTAGACACTGATCCAAGGTCAACCCTTATGGTGAATGTTAGGAATTGAGGGGAGGGTAAGCTGATTTCAGACCTGTCTTTGACCCACCTGAGAAGTAATAGCATTCAAGAGTTGTGTATGTGGTTAACTTGAACATGGACTCGGGCATGTCCGGTAACGGGAGTTAGATCTTTGAAAATACCTAAGAATTCATGTGATGTACTTTGTCCGTTAACAGTGTAATTGAATGGTTGTTGTGGAGAATACAAATCTCATAATACTAAATTCACTCCCAGCCTCCGAGTCTTATTTGGGCCAGTCAAAGTGGCCAAGCCACAATGTTCTCTAGTCGTCGATAGCAGGACACTGTCCGGTCAACTCAAATCCTCACCATGGACAATTAACAAAAGCCCCGGACTCTTGACCGTAATTAGTTTGCCAGAGCGGAGATGTGAAAATAATTTGCCACTCTCGTCTTGGAGCAGTGTGCGCAGTGACCACATTTGAAGTTCCCAGTGGGGAACACTTGGCAGCCCATGAGCCACACACACACATATACACACACACACACACACACAGGATGTGGGGCTGAGAGGCCTGACCCAGCTGTCCTCTTGCTCGCTCGCCTGACCAAAGACAACTGGAGTGGAAGCGAACTTTTGTTTCTTCCTTTTTCATTTTCTTTTTAAACGTACCAAAGCTTCTGCTGCTTTGTTAGCAGTCCGATACTGTAGAGATTGTCAGTCACTCATCTCACTTCCATGCTAACAGATCCTCATCAGCAACCACTATCCCAGCGATCTACCCTCATGTGAGATACTAGCCCTCTCTGACCAATCTCCCTTTAATATCTTTGGATAACCAACCAGTCAATGTAATTTTTTCATTGTCTGCACATTAACAGAATATGCTAACAGAGCATGTTAACAGAACACGGTTGACTGTACAGTATTCTGCAACATGATTTTCTCTCAACAGTCACATACCCGAGGCTGAGGATGGTAGTTTTGCTGAGGATGACTGGTAAGATTTCTGTGGTGGTGTTCAGTGTGCAGTGCTCTCTTCTCGCTTCTGTGATGTATAGTGTTGCATTGTGGGTGCAGTACTTTGGAAAGAAATCACTGTGCATCCGTTTTTTTGCTGTGTTTTGTTACTGACTTGGGGCATTGTGCTGTACGGTACCAAGATAGTATTTTCTGCAGGCGTTAGAGAACAAAAAAACAGAATCTGCATCGAAATGAGTTACCAGTGAAAGGATTATGGATTCACAGCTACTGTATAGTGTTATAGCTTACAATAGATGTCTGGAAATGCGACACAGTGCAGTCTACTTTGTCTGCTTGGCATGTTGTGAAGCATTTCTCTACTTATTATACTGTGTTGAAGCTGACAATATGGCAGCACAAACTCCTTTCCCTCCATTAGCATCAATCTAGCTGTTGAGACCCAGGCACACTCCTGTGATCCATCTGCTGCAGTGTGTTGTAATCCACAGCATGGATGTGTCTCATCCATTTTGCATGGGAGATGTTGGCCTTTTGGTTGATGCCAATTATGCCAAATGTGGTGCCTCGCAGGCTGCTGGGGAGACAGACGTGGCTGTCGCCAGTTTCCCACCTTGTGTGAAAGCATGCCTATTTATTTTACTGTCTTTCTGTCTGTGAAGCAAACAGATTGAATTTAGCACTTTAATATGAGGTAACGAAGCGAACATATGGACAGATACCGGCACAAAACAGAGGCAGATATTTATTAAAAGTACTTTATCATCTTCGCCATAGTCATGAATAATAGATACTACCAGACTGCAAGAATTGTTCTCCCTCCCTCCTGAAATTATATCTGCTCACTGATAAACTGTATCAAAAATATAAACACTTCTCTTGCCAGGCTGCTCAGTGTGAAATCTCATTGGCTTGTTCTATTCCTTAGGGCTCCTCTCAAATATACTACCTCAAACTCACTTAGGCCTACGTCATGAACATCAAGTATCCCACTTGTAATACCTCTGCCATCCTAAAAGCTATCCCAGTCCTGGTGGGTCGGGTGCTGCTTCCATTGTTTTTATTTTATTATTAGAGTCGGTGCGCTCTCTGAAAAAGCTGAAACCCAAATAGTTGATGAGGTGCAGACCAACGGATAATAAAGAAAGCCTGTGTTAATCCCAGTCGTTCCTTGGGAGTAAAATTTGGCCAGACACAGATTGTGGGTCTTGATATGTAATTTATATGGTGGTGCCTAGAGTGTACAACATGGAAAGGTGAGATGGGGAGCCTCTTTGGAGAAGAATGAAATGAAACCCCAGCCTGCCTGCTACCCTTCTTCCATCTCTAGACCATCTGTGGTATGAGCATTACAGACACATTCCTTACTGTCTTTGTGGGAAACCATACAATTTGGCACTCTTTTTCATGGTCCTTAGAGTGAAATCCATTCCGGCCCGAGAAACTGTTAACACACATCGGCCATTTTGGGTATTGACCCATCCGTTGCTTCTAGGTGACAGAAACTGAATGTGCTTTAACAGAGCTGTTGTTGAGTTAGTAAGGAGGCCAAAGATACCGAATGTGAACAACCAGGGCTCTTGTTCCCATAGTGACGTGATGGATCGCTGCTGGGCTGGAGTAGGTCATCAATAACAGACCATCCTTCACCGATCAGCTTTAGCCTCAGAAATCTCAAGCCGGTGGACTCGGGCGGCGATGATGCCATTGCTTTGTCCATCCATGCAAAGGGCTTACAAAGGCTCCATTTCTATATACTGTAGGTGGTTAGAGTAAAGCAGGGGTAGGCATCTACATTCAGCCGTGGGACGATTTTTGTTGAAGTGGATTGTCGGGGGGGTGGAACAGAATTATAATAATTTGTACACTGCGCAAATTGACCACAACTAAGCCCAAAAATAGATTTGTATTTGAAAATAACAATAATTTCATAACTTGATTACATTGAGATACGATCACTTCCCTTTTTATTTTTTTATTTGTGGGAATAACTGGTCAACAGATTTCCTAAATCACACATTTGTTGCCGACCCCTGGAGTAGGGCTCTGGCCTGACACAACAATCGGTGTGGATTCTATTAAAATTAGAAGCTACTGTTGCTGTCCTGGCCTAAGTGTGGTGGCTGCTATAGGTCTTGCCTATTTATAGGTAATTGTGTTTTAACTTGGTTTATAGATGCCCATGTCTTCTCTTGAGACAAGGCAGGTGAAGGCATGAAATATTCCAAGAAAGACACTCAATGAGAGGATCACCTACTCAATACAATAGAAGCCATCAAGCGAGGAGCGTTCTGTCCCTCCTGTGTGTCTCTGTATCCCTCTTACGCAGGCGGGTGGAGAAAGGAACAGGATAAATTGCTTTCTCCCTGCACTGTGCCATATTTTAATACAGGCCTCTGAGTGTGATAGATTCCCTCTACTCCACCACATCTATTCTCGGTATAGCACAACATCTGCCACAGCCCTGGTATAATTGCATTGCTCTCTTCCTTCTCTCCCATTCCCCAAAGCAACATTTGTTTGCGGTGGACTTCCAGGGAATATTGCCGGTTGGCTCTTAAGAACCTTAATGATCCCTGGGTTTAGGTAGACTAATTATGGAGGCTAATGGCAACCATGGTACATTTCTGTTAAGACCGACCTGATCCATAGTCTACTATTTATCACAGAATCATTAATTGATTTCTGCCGGAAGTAGCAAACCACTGCTGTCTGCCTAGAGTCGATTCACCCAAGATTTGATAGCGATGCTAAAAGGCATCGCGACAAGACGTGTCACTGCTATGCTTTCAGGGTTTTGCATCCAATTATATTGCACCCACAGCCAACATAGCCTACCTGCAATTTTATTTATTGATTGTGACCAGACCATATGTTGTTTTTTTGCAAGGGTGATAGATGTTCATCCTCTTTGTTCCAGAGTCTTATTGAGAAAAATCTATTTCGTCGATGTACAGGACAAGTTCCACTTTTCTTGGTCTTATCATATGGCTTTCTGCTGACGTTATCTAAAAACCTTTACTGAACCTTTTCAATCTTATGTACCGTATACTTACTAGATGTCTGATTGTATATCTGTTGAAAATGCAAACAGCAAGTCATGTAGCAACGGTGATTTGTAAAAGTGGAAAATAACTCTAAATTGTCATACCCGAAACGGTCAATACCAACACAAAATTGTGTTTTCTTGCGGTAGTGACTCCGTTTCGGTAATGACAAACTCCTGTATACTTGTTAAATATTTTATTTTGTGTTTTTTCTGCTGAAAGAAATACTTATTAATAGATATCAGGAATCTTGTCTGGTTACTTTTTATTCTCTGCCAATTTAACAACCCACCCGACTCTGTTGCATTGTGTTTCTATTGAGAGAAAACAGAAAGGTCATGTAAGGATTCTTGGAGATGTGTAGGGGAGGAGGTGGAGGGGGGATGCATGTGTGAGTGGGAGGCAAATGAATTCATCTTACCCAGAAGTTGAGAGTCACCAGGGACTCCAGGCTTGTGCATCTTAATAATCCACCCCCTCGCCTGTTTCCCCTGCATCTGGTGCATTATGGAGTCATTTCAGGCCAGCTCTGGCTGCTGGCTTCCCCAAAGTTTTTTGTTTGTTTTTACTGTCAACATGGTACAGAATCCCTATTGGCCATCACTGTGTGAAGACTGTAATTGTATACACAAGCCCTCGGGACCAGCTTCACATCTGTCTGCAATTGAAACAATTCCCAACACACAAGCTCTTCATACAGTCTCCAATTATACCATACTCTCTGGAGAATTAAAACAATTTACAAAACGTCATCGCTTTTTTGTTGTTGAGGGAAACAGTCTCTACACTACCGGTCAAAAGTTTTAGAACACTTACTCATTCAAGGGCTTTTCTTAATTTTTTTACTATTTTCTGCATTGTATAATAATAGTGAAGACATCAAAACTATGAAATAACACATGGAATCATGTAGTAACCAAAAAAGTGTTAAACAAATCAAAATATATTTTATATTTGAGATTCTTCAAATAGCCACCCTTTGCCTTGATGACAGCTTTTCACACTCTTGGCATTCTCTCAACCAGCTTCACCTGGAATGATTTTCCAACAGTCTTGAAGGAGTTCCCACATATGCTGAGCACTTTTTGGCTGCTTTTCCTGCACTCTGTGGTCCGACTCATCCCAAACCATCTCAATTTGGTTGAGGTCGGGGGTTTGTGGAGGCCAGGTCATCTGATGCAGCATTCCATCACTCTCCTTGGTAAAATAGCCCTTACACAGCCTGGAGGTGTGTTGGGTCATTGTCCTGTTGAAAAACAAATGATAGCCCAAACCAGATAGGATGGCGTATCGCTGCAGAATGCTGTGGTAGCCATGCTGGTTAAGTGAGCCTTGAATTCTAAATAAATCACAGACAGTGTCACCAGCAATGCACCTCCACACCATAACACCTCCTCTTCCATGCTTTACGGTGGGAAATACACAGCGGTTAGAACCAAAAATCTCAAATTTGGACTCCAGACCTAAGGACAAATTTCCATCGTTCTAATGTCTATTGCTCGTGTTTCTTGGCCCAAGCAGGTCTCTTCTTCTTATTGGTGTCCTTTAGTAGTGTTTTCTTTGCAGCAATTCGACCATGGCCTGATTCACACAGTCCCCTCTGAACAGTTGATATTGAGATGTGTCTGTTACTTGAACTCTGAAGCATTTATTTGGGATGTAATTGCTGAGGCTGGTAACTCTAATGAACTTGTCGTCTGCAGCAGAGGTAACTCTGGGTCTTCCATTCCTGTGGCGGTCCTCATGAGAGCCAGTTTCATCATAGCGCTTGATGGTTTTTGCGACTGCACTTGAAGAAATGTTCAAAGTTCTTGAAATGTTCAGTATTGACTGACCTTCATGTCTTAAAATAGTGATGGACTGTCAATTCTCTTTGCTTATTTGAGCTGTTCTTGCCATAATATGGACTTGGTCTTTTACCAAATAGGGCTATCTTCTGTATACCCACCCTACCTTGTCACAACACAACTGATTGGCTCAAACGCATTAAGAAGGAAAGAAATTCCACAAATTAACTTTTAAGAAGGCACACCTGTTAATTGAAATGCATTCCAGGTGACTACCTCATGAATCTGGTTGAGAGAATGTTGAGTGTGCAAAGCTGTCATCAAGGCAAAGGGTGGCTATTTGAAGAATCTCAAATATAAAATATATTTTGATTTGTTTAACACTTTTTTGGTTACTACGTGATTGTATATGTATTATTTCATAGTTTTGATGTCTTCACTATTATTCTACAATGTAGAAAATAGTAAAAATAAAGAAAAACCCTTGAATGAGTAGGTGTTCTAAAACTTTTGACCGGTAGTGTACTTATGCTCTTGTGTTGTCTGTGTAGTTTTTTTTACCAGTGTCCTTTTTTCACATTCACAGCCACAGCACACAGTCGTCTGAGGAGGAAGGATTTAATGACCCCAGCTTGCTGGAAAACCTCCAAAGTAATCACGTAAGTAACTCCAGGGTTCCCTGCCACCCACTTGCAGAGGCGGGGTCTGCAGGAGGACGTTAGGAGAGATGTCAGGCATGGGTCGTGGTCATTATGTGTGCAGGAGGATGTTAGGAGAGATGTCCGGCGTGGGTCGTGGTCATTATGTGTGCAGGAGGATGTTAGGAGAGATGTCCGGTGTGGGTCGTGGTCATTATGTGTGCAGGAGGATGTTAGGAGAGATGTCAGGCGTGGGTCGTGGTCATTATGTGTGCAGGAGGATGTTAGGAGGGATGTCAGGCGTGGGTCGTGGTCATTATGTGTGCAGGAGGATGTTAGGAGAGATGTCAGGCGTGGGTCGTGGTCATTAGGTGTGCAGGAGGACGTTAGGGGAGAGGTCAGGCGTGGGTCGTGATCATTAGGGACATGTGTTAAAGAATTTTGCAACGGAAAAGGAAGCGTTAGCGCTTTATTTTGTCCATCCATGTTGCAGTCTGTTTTGTTCCTCTTGGTGCCTAATGAACCCAACCCTGTTTCATACTGCAGCACATATTTTGTGTTCTTTAGTGGGCCTCAATGACTGGGTAGATATGTGTGTACTAGCGTGGTATTAGTTTTAATTGAATCCTGATGAAAAAGTGACAACCAGCGTAGTTATTGGCATGTACACAGTCTAACTCATTCATGAAGTGTTATTTATTTTCATATTGTGTTTAATACAATTATAAGACTTTGAATACAGCAATCATCATTTGCTTATGCAGCAAGGCTTCTGGTGTAACTCATCAGTGGTGCTGTGACTACTGTGTGTATTCAGAAAGCTGTTTTTAATTGGTCTGACGTTGGTCCAATAGGCAATATCTAGGGCCCTATAAAATCTGCGATACGGAGAACGTGGACAGAATCACGGAATCCAGACAATTAAACGGAATTCAACAATATTCAAAAATGTATTGAACTTAGTAGGGAATCTACTAAATGTATTGACATGTATTAATTTGCCCAAGTTTATCATAAGACATTAACAGAATGCATCAGTGATTCGTATTTCCTGCAACTTTCTGAAGAGGAAACGAGAATTGTCCCTGTATGTGAGGTGAGTGCAGCTACCACTGCGCACTTGAATCGACCCCTAGAGTCGATGTCTGCGCCCCAGCGGAAATGTAATTAGCATAATAATAACAAATCCCCATCCAAATCTGTCTAAGCTGCGTCTCAATCCACTGCATCCGCCTATTGCGGCCTTCCGCATCTGCGGTGGAAGGTGGCCGAGCTACAGCGGTGTTTGTCAGCCCAAGAGACATTCCGAAAATTGGTCTTCTCAAGAAAATGTCTGTAGCGTCCGAACGGTTTGGCCTACGAACTTATATGACCACTCTATGGAAAGATGAGACTCTCCAGAACACGTACATGTTTTGCTCTAGGACGCCCACAAGACTCGTCTGAAGGTAGACCGGTACTAGTTAAAATGTTTTTTATGGAAGTATACACTGAGAATTGAAAACATTAGGAACACCTGCTCTTTCCATGGCATAGACTGACCAGGTGAATCCAGGGAAAAAATATGATCTCTTATTGATGTCACTTGTTAAATCCACTTCAAATCAGTGTAGATGAAGAGGAAGAGACAGGTTAAAGGAGGATTTTATGCCTTGACAATTGAGACATGGATTGTGTATGTGTGCCATTTAGAGGGTGAATGGGCAAGACATTTACATTTAAGTCATTTAGCAGACACTCTTATCCAGAGCGACTTACAAAATATTTAAGTGCCTTTTGAACGGGGTATGTTAGTAGGTGCCAGGCGCACCGGTTTGAGTGTGTCAAGAACTGCAACGCTGCTGGGGTTTTCATACTCAAGTTTCCTGTGTGTATCAAGAAT